ATATTGTCTAAATCCTTGGATAATTGCATGTATTTGTATGTTTAGTGTGTGTGTTGAAATATTATTATTTTATTATAACTTTTCAAGAACGTGAGATTTCACAAATCTCATGAAAATCAGAAAATATCTAAATCACCACATAAAGAATACTGTGTTTACAAAAGAGCCTCCCAAGGTTTTTGAGTGTGTCCAGTATACTCTCTTATTCTATGTCTCCATGTCTAGAAATAAAAGTTGTTGAAATAGACCTTATAAGTTGACACTATTTATAGAATCTTCGAAGTTTGGAACTTTATACCCTGTCAATGACTTTTTGCAAACTATTAGGGAGTATTTTATAAATATTTGATATAAATAATTTCATTAAGAAAATGTACCAATAGAGCCTTTATGGCAGAAATATTTGCATGTCATAAAGCCGTTGTCATTAGAATTCACACAAGTTAAAGTTGTATACAAATCATAACTTGACACTTTCTGACAAATTGGGTCTCACTCAATATTTTATAAAGGGAAGAGCCGTCTTGCTGACTTCGCTAATACTAGGTCGATTTGATAAATATTCAAAGTGGATTATTTTAACAAACGAAACAAAACTCAACGAAATATCTATTCAACGAATACAACTATTATTATTTATTTAGTAAATAATGGATTTCAACGATTTGCTCAGAAAACTGTTAGTATTCTAGTCAGACAAATCTTCACAGTACATATATTTATATATAATAGTGTACGCTTAAAGTCATGTAAGAGCTATAACCAGAGTCTCCTGGAGGGGGAGCGAGAATTTGTGTATAGATCTATACGGGGTTGACACCCCGCACCTTCGTTGTTCGCTACAGCTAGACCAGTCAGTCTAGGGTGACAAATGTCTTAAACAAAACCGACGCCTGAAGAACGTCATAACATGCACTCTGTCATATTAGTATGGTTATAACGACTCACTAGAATTTATCAGAAATGTATTTATACATATTTCACCTTTGGTTTACGATCAACTATGTTTTGATTACCTCAAATGAGACATTTTTCACACAAGTGTTATTGTTTTGTTAAAGCTACTATTTTACACATCAGAAAATATAGGATTTTCTGGAGGAAACGATTTTATACGATTTCGAAAATGACGAACTAAGACACACATGCAACTATACTCGATTTGAAACAAAACTTACAACTATTTTGATAAGAAAATATTGGATTTTCTGGATTTCTAAACTATCATCGAAGTTTTACACGAAAATGCTTATGAACTCACCAACATATTTTATGTTGACGCTTTTCAAACGACTTGTATTCTCAGGAAACCAATAAGCAGGTTATGGATCGCGGACTCAGGATTACTTTGCTGTATTTTGGGAATTGCTTACTGATGTTTCTTTTGTGTAAAATTTGAGAACATAAACATGATGTAAAACAATGCAAGTTTGTTATATTGATGTATGATGTTTGGATCCGCTATGTATCATTTATATGCAATTGTTATGATACTACACAACGAAGTCACCTGTAACAAACCGTATTTCAAACCTATGTAATAATGTAGGTCAATTTGTAGTTCTTTTTATAATAATAAAGAGAAATTTCAGCATACTGTGTATATTTACATAATTGACCCTCAAAAATAAAGTATTAAACAATCTCGATTGGGATGAACCAAGTGGTAGAGATTGTAACAAGGTTTCCAAAAATATAAAGAACACTAAAATCTGAGTTATAACGAAGAAGTTATGACCAATCAAAGATCCGCGACAAAACCGACAAAATACTATTCAGTGTAAAAACTGAATTTTCAATAAAAGGCTTTTTAGCCTTAACAATCTAAATGACAGTTGTAGTTTATGTGAAACCGAGAACTTTCATAAAAAGAACGTCAAAATCTGACTTCGTATGAACAAGTTATGATTTTTCTAAGTTTCAGTATAGCAGTATACATCTAAAAACTCGAAATAATGATCGAGTGATTTTTAGCCGTCACAACCTAAACGAGAATTGAAGGTCTCGTCAATAGTAGTACAACGGTAAAAAGACAGACAAAAAGGGACGTTGGATGAAGAAGTTATGAATTTTTCACAGATTTCCTGTCCCGGTCTGTTAAAAATAATAATATTAAAAATAAATTCAAAATTAGCCGACGAAGTCTAAACGAAAGTCGTAGAGTATATTTTTACCTACGCGTACATATAAAGAACGTCGAAAACGGAGCTCGTATGCAAAAGTTATGATTTTCGCAAGTTTTGGGCACAAAAATCGAGAAATGTTGAAAACCAGGAAAATTCGCATGATGTACCTTCGGCCACGTCACCTTCGCATGCGAGGCTTCCCCGTGTCGGACCTGTGTCGCCTTCTGATTGGACCGAAGTTGTCCGTGTCGCCTTCTGATTGGACCGAAGCCGAGGTCCAGTAGCCAGCCGACACCCTCGCAGGAACACGCCCCTCGGACACGCGCCTTCTTCTGATTCGACCGAAGTTCGGTCCAATGGCCATCCGACACACCGAGTCAGCTGTCCGAAGCTAGCCTTCTCCCCTCGCCACATGTCCGAACACGCGGCAACTTCCCCCAACTTCGGATCCGAGGCTTCGGCCTATATAAGGCATGCGAGACTCTCCGGATTTTTACACTTTTTCACCCCATTTTCCATTTCTTTTCACTTCTTTCATTTCCACAAACTTACATACAACCCCTAAAGCCCCGATATCAAGTCTAAAACCCTAATCAAGCCTCGAAGCCCCGAGATTCCCGAGAAAAACAACTTTCTCCAGTCGAAACTCTGCTCGATTTAAGCCTGTTTTTCGTCAAATAAACTCCTTTCCAGGAAACAAAACACTGTCCAAATCACCACCTGTCCAAATCACCAGACACACTCTCAGTTACAAGTTTTACAAATACAGAACACTGGTTTACAAACGGAACGATTTTATGGGAATAAAAACTATTTTTCATATACAACAGAAAATATAGGATTTTCTAGAATAGTTTACATATTCGAGATACCGAAACATCCTGTTAAACATAAATACATATGCACTCACTCAACTTTATGTTGATGCTCTCTTGTCGAATTACTTGTATTCTCAGGGAAACAATAAACAGGTACTCCCCGAGCTTTTTGAGAAGATGGAGCTAATTTGAGTAATATCTTCTTCTTTTGTATAACTATTTTGGGTTCAATATACAATGATTGAACATATGTAAATACTTATACTTTCTAAATACAATGGTTGTTTGTACTTTGATTACTATGATGCATGTGCTGTGATACTACAAATGAAGTCCTCCACCCCCGGACGTTTCCGCCGTCTGGTTTGGGGGTGTGACATCACCCGCCTCCGGACGTTTCCGCCGTTCTGGTCCGGGGTGTGATACAATTCATGCAAGTTCCTAGAATTGAACACTGGGAGGCTGCCTTGCAAGTTGTTAAGTACCTAAAAGGTACTCCAGGTCGTGGTATCCTATTACGAGCTGATAGCAAGCTCTCTTTGACTGGTTGGTGTGACTCGGATTGGGCGGCTTGTCCAATCACTAGAAGATCACTTTCTGGTTGGATTGTCTATATTGGGGATTCTCCAATTGCATGGAAAACAAAGAAACGACACACTGTTTTACGGTCATCTATTGAAGCAGAGTACCAGTCTATGGCTGCTATTATTTGTGAGTTTAAATGGCTGAAGGGCTTACTTTTGAGTCTCGGTATTCGTCATCCTCACTCTATTCACTTATTCTGCGACAATCAGGCCGCTCTTTACCTGGCTGAGAATCCTGTTTTTCACGAACGTATGAAGCACATCGAGGTGGACTGTCACTTTGTCCGAGATGCTATTGTTGACGGTCTGATCGCTCCATCCTATGTTCATACCTCTGAGCAACTGGCTGATATTCTTACTAAGGCGCTTGGCAAAACTCACTTTGATCGTCTAACTGACAAGTTGGGCATTCTTGATCCCCATGCTCCAACTTGAGGGGGGATGTTAGACCTTATCATATCTTAGTTTAAAGTTTCTATGTTTATCTTTATATCTAGATTAATTTGAATTCTTTGTGATAAGAACAATATGTGATATATATTCTCGATCAATGAATGAATCAAAGCGAAGTTGAAACCATTTATTTCAGAGAAGCTCTTCACTTGTTCTACACGTTATGGATGAATGAGGGGGAAATAGATGCATCTTATTTCCCCAATATTTTCACATTTGGTCCATGTAGTTTACATCTTTTGTTTAAAACTCAACAAACCTCAATATTTGTGATTTAACTCAAGTTTTAACATAATAAGTCATTCATCTTACATTTTATAGGCTTGGTGGCCTACCTTTCATTAAGTGGATCAACCCTTTTATCAACTCACTATGCCAAGTTGATATTTCTGCCCCTTAAACTATAAAGTGCTGTTACTTCCACTTTTAACTTTCTAAATTTCATATCAATTAATGATATGATTATCCTATAATGATTTATTTATATTAATCACCCTTTATCTATTTACCTTATTAATTTAATATTCTAGTCTTAAATTTTAAATTTAGGAAGTTACAACCAACTTTAAAGATCAGTATATAGTCTTTCAATATACAAGTGTATGATGTTCAAAGATTACATTTGGGGTTCAGGTTTGAGAATAAGAAAAGCTGCAACCTCACTTGGAAATAAGACGTCTCTATAACATCTAATGATGTACCAGAAAGGGTCAAAGAAAGATTTTAGTTTCAAGGTTGAAGATAGGATACCATACCCTACCCTACCATCATACCATGTTATGATTCATAGTTGGATTGATTAACTTGTCTTGGAGAGACAATTAATTAACAAAGTTGTTTAAAATTTCAAGTCAAAATTTTTAAAAATAAATTAATTTGTAAAGAAAAACGTGAAAGATTTTTGTAAGAAGTTTGGGCTGTATGATAAGATCACATTTTGGGCTAAATGGCAAAATACTAAAAAGAGACCCGATTTAAATTATGTGGGTTTTCGGGTTGAACCAACAGACTTGGGCTTAACGCCACGTTCCTCCATCGAAGACGTATCAAGTTTTTTCTATACCAAGCCGCCGGCGTTTTCAGCTCACAATTACCGCCATCGCTCTCACCCGTAAGCTCTATGCCGGTTGTGTGGTGAACGGCTCTCCGTATTCGGGCAATTTGGACAGGTATTCTCTTATCTACCAAGTACCAATCGCGGATGTAACGTGTTCTTCACTTAATCCATCCGAGGTTTAACTTTGATCTAGGGTTTTAGGAATTAACTACTTTTGAAATATGTAATCGCAGTTAATGTATTGCATGTATTGTACGACTGGTTGTTGCATATTGCTGTAGCAGTAACATCGCAATGTTGTTGTGATGTTTAAATTCGTATTGTATCATGATCTCTGATTATAGGTTTATTGAAGCTTAACATTATGCCCTTTCTGTGAAGACTCTTGTGTGATTCTTCCGAGCTTCAATGTTGGATTAAAATTTTAGAAGCTTCTGTAAACTGTAATCTCTGTTCTCAGGTGGTGTGATACATATCGTTGGAGAAATGCAAATAGCTACAAATATATAATAATTATAATGTATTCATCTTAGGACATTTCCTTATAGCTTAAAAACGTTGTAGTTCTCATAGAGTAAGTCTACAATTGGTTAATAGAATGCATGTCATGACAAAATTGTTTTGTTTTAGTCTTATGAACAATTAGTTCAATCATTTTGTGACTACTGCCACAGTGCTACATTACACTTCGTTGAAATATCAAAATTTAAGTTTCAACCCTTTTATGTCCTTTGAAGTTTAGCAAATTAGTATGGTTTAATAACATAAGATTATCAATAATTCATTGTTTTGTAATGGTGAAGACAGATCATTGACACCAAGATCCCAAGATTTCAATATAAAGAGCCATGTCGATTATTAGCAGATCCAGACGGATTTTCTCCATAGTATTGGAGAGCAATAAGAATCCTCGTTTGTATTCCAGTGTCACTGCAAATGCTCCCAAAGAACCCATTATCTCCTCTTCTATCCTCAGTGATCAAGCTGCATCTTCAATTCCACCTCCACCACCGGAAAGTGCAGCAGCCGCCAAAGGAGGTGGTGGACAGCCATGGAGTTTTCTCAAGTATTCTATAATTGCAGCAGTTACTGGAGGTGTTGCCACTGCTGGGTATGCAACCTATGGTATGTGCTTTTTCCCTCTACATCTACAACATGTGAATCTCAGAAGTTTCATTGCTAAAATCTTAAATAGTTAAATCACTTGTAATTCTGCTTGATGCTCCTTTCTTATCATCTTCTTCACTCCAAATGGAAGGAGAAATATAGAAATGACTCAACATCAAACACACATAGTAACAAGTAGTATATTTTTGTTTTTCATGCCTTTCTTTATGCATCATCAGGCATCTATATTCTGTATACATCTCCTTTTTGCAGCATACAGTTTAGAAGAAGTTGATGAGAAGACTAAGGCTTTTCGTGCATCAACCAAAGTCTCTATAGGTGATGATTTGTCTTCTTTTGAGGTGAGTGTGACTTAAAATTCCATCCTTATTTTTATGTGTTTAATGGCATGACTGACATATGTTGTGTAACTATTTTTTTTAGTGATATGATAATGAATCTGTTGCTTCTGATTGTATGGTAGTAGATAGCATAGCATCAAGAGTAGGCTCTGTTAGTGATTAGGGTTTAGATTAGGTCTCTTATGTATCCCTATTTATATGAGGTTTAACCTCACTATTTATGAATGAAGCATTCTATCATATAACAGGGTCTATAATGATCTTGGAGTGTGAACCATCTTATTCTAACATATAACTTACTGTAAATGCAGAAATTTCAAGCTATGCTAAAATCAACTGCAATGACAGGTTTACCATTATTATCTTTTTCCTTTTGTTTTCTTTATTATTATTTATATTTATATTTTAACTTTTTCTATCTTCTTGATGTTTCAGTTCCTGCTAAGTTAGTTGAGCTTTATTTGGATCTGCGTGCATCTACAGAAGAACATGTTCGAGTGTGTATACAATATAAACCTTCTGTTCTTTCCTCAATAATATATATTATTTATTTTTCACTTTGTTTTTTTGCTTAAAAAATTGTGGTTTTCTAGGGTTTTACTGAACCCTTGTCAGATAAGCTCCTTCCAGATTTGCACCCACAAGAACAACATGTATTTACATTGGTTTTAGACCTCAATGAAACTTTACTATACTCCGATTGGAAGGTAATTTATATATAAAAAATATTCCATCATTTCTTTTTCTATCTTTAATTTGATCTTCAATTATATCTATTTGATAAGTAACTTTTTGTAATTCTATTAAAGCGTGATCGAGGTTGGAGAACATTTAAAAGACCAGGAGTTGATGACTTTTTAGAGCAACTAGCTCGGTATTATGAAATCATAGTCTATTCCGATCAGCAGGCCATGGTATATTACTTTATTACCCTTCCTCCATTTTCTTTAATTAACAAATCTGAGGCTTTTTATTTTTGTATTGCAGTATGTTGATCCTATTGTTGATAGATTGGATGGAAATCACTGCATAAGGTACAGGCTTTCAAGGGCTGCAACTAGATATCAAGATGGGAAGCACTACAGAGTATGTTTTTTAAATATGATTTTTTATTAAATAATAAATACTATCAAGACATAAAAAAAAATATATATATATTTTTTACTTTTTGGTAGGATTTGTCAAAACTTAACAGAGATCCTTCAAGAATTCTGTATGTGAGTGGTAATGCTCTTGAGAGTTGCCTTCAGCCAGAGAACTGTGTACCAGTAAAACCATGGAAATGTGAAGCTGAAGACACTGCACTTGTGGATCTTATACCATTTCTTGAATGTAAGCACAACAATTTTACTTTTCACTTTATAAATATTTAATTATAATGTTGGGTTTAGGATTTATGTATTGTAACTGCAGATGTTGCACGCAATAGGCCTGCTGATATTCGGCCTGTACTAGCTTCATATCAAGGACATGATATAGCCAAAGAATTCATTGAACGTTCTAAAGAACATCAAAGGTAAAAAAAATAAAAAACTTTTCAAGATTGTTCTTAACTCTTAACTAATCTAATCATATGGGACCTGAATAAATGTCCTAGGCAAAATACTAAAAACTACAACTTACTTTCACTACTGTATTCTTTTAGCCTCTTAACTACTATTATAAGTTACAGAAATTCTCAAAACTTACGGATTGGTCCCCAATCCTTGCGAGACTTTTTTGTCTTGAAATTGGATGCTTGCAAAATTACCAATTTATGGTCCAAAAGATCCCTAAATTTGGTAACGATTGAAGGGCATTTTGGACATTTGACTAAATAAGTTGACATATTTGTTGGGATGGATGATTCAGGAGAATGCAGGAGCAGAAGCAACCGGGGCGTCTGTGGCGACGCTGAGTGAATCTGTTAGCGGAGGATTTGAGATTGAGAATTGATGATATAATGAATTAATGAGTATGAAACTGTTAGGCTGCATTGCATGCGTATGATATATGATGATATGATATCATAAAATATAGAGAATGATTTAGTTAGTGAGATTGGATTCTTCCATCTCATTTTGTTGTCGCTTGGTATAACCATTTTTGGATCCCCTAAATGTCTTTCTTACTTTTCTCTCAAGTTTGAGAATAAATATACATACACTCGTACATGGCCCATTGCCAATTTTGCTACTTTTGCTTGTAGTTGAAGGTTATTTTTAGTTTCTTTCCTATTTTTATTTGTTCATTTCATTTTTTTTACTATGTAAAGTTTAGTTTGTTTATGAATGTGGGTCTCATCAATGACTGAAAAACAGAAGTTCACCAAGGGAGATATTTTATGTCTTTTTACAACTGTATAACCGCATCAATTATAAAGTTGTTCCAGTTGTAATAACCCAATACCAATTCTTACACCAAATATGTTCCTAATCCAAAAAGTCAATAAAATACTAAAGAATATCTACATTAGAAGATAATGCCAAGGGTGGGTGTTGTATATACTCTTTTTTAAAACATAAAAGAAAGAGAAACAACCATAGATGAACCAAATTTATGTATTATATTTATAGTTTTGAAGGTCTCACAAACTCATCATCCAAGACCTCTCTTCAACTTATTTCTCTACACTCTATGTACACTTACCAATAAATGGCACAAACAACTTAATAGAAGTAGTCATGAGCACTTGTGGGCCCTCCCTCTTCATTATCATCTTCCTCGGAGCTATTAGCATCAAAACTCAAAATAAACTCCAACATATTACCTTCTCTATTCACACTCACATTCTCAATTGGGCTTGCTTGTTGGCTTCGCATTGACAGCAATTGAAGTGCCATTTCTCTCGGTGACACCATTTGATACATCCAAGTATTCATCTTAGGCCTCGACTAAATAACCAAAAAAACATTAAAAAAAAAAAAAAAAAAAGATGTTAACGTCTGTTTGATATGATGGAATGGAATAACAAGAAACAACACACCTTCTCAATATTTGTTGGGGGAGGTGCCTTTTCAAGTGCAGTAGGTGTCCAAATCTTGATGTCACTCTCAATCCCACTACTCGCAAGCATACTTGTATGTGGATGCGGTTGAATACAATTCACCACTTGTTTATCAGCCTCCATAACACGAACAACTTCCGTGTCTTTTTTCCTCCAAATAAATATTCTCCCACAATCCGATCCACTCACAACATACTCACATTTAGGCCCAAAAAAGTTCACTCCCTTCACTGTCATACAATTCCGATGCCCCTTGTATTGTTGTGGGCCCGGTTTGGAATCAGATTCCATCGTCCGATCAACATCTAAGACTGAATTTACATTACTACCCCACCCCATATCCTTTGAGAAAAGATAGATGAACTCTTCACCGTATGAAACAAGAAGTTCACTTTGATCCGAGAAGGCTAATCCGGTAATTCCAACATTTTCATCTCCTAATAAATGTTTGGGACAAAAATGGTCAACTGGTTGACCAAAAGCAGATGAAGAATTCAAATTCGAATTCGATCTGTATCTTCTGATATCATATAATCTAGTGAATTCATCGGATCCAGCGATCATGAATAAATTAGGGTTTCGTGGGTCTATTGCTATAGCATTTAGGTTTACAACTTGCATGAAGCTTCTACCATGAACCGGTTGACAACTGAAAAGTTCTGTTGCCTCTCCTGTTCTCAGATCAAACTGAAAAAAGTAGGGTTTATGAAATATAGAATTGAGTTAAAGTAATTAGATTGATTGTGAGTGTGACTATTGACTAACATGTTGACCCAATCCATCTTCGCCACATGTATAGAAGATGTGTGGACTTCCAGGCTCAATGGCTAGTTTATGAGCTCTTCCTTGATGTCTTGCAAGCAATTTTGTCCCCACTTTTCCACATTCTAAGATGGTTGCATGCCTCACCTAGAATAATCAAATGATCATAAAAAAAGTATATAAATTGGGAAATTATTTATTTAAAAATATTAAAAGCATACCTGGCCATCAGCAGCACAAGTGACAATGGTTCGTTCATCGGTTCCTGGCATGATCTTTGCTTGGAAGATATTGTTATTATGGCCAGAATTGAAAGAAAGTTTAATACTTCCGGTTTCCCAGTCCCAGAGTATAACTCTTTTGTCATCTGAACCAGATACCAGAATGTCTCCATCTCCATTGAAGCTCACAGTGTTCACACATCCTCTGTGTTTTTCCAGCTTTCTTACAAGATCAAGTCTCAGGACTAGATCCTACCACATCAAAGCAATCGATCATGTATGTGATTATTACTATTAAGATCAAGTCTCAGGACTAGCATCCACAATGCATAGTTTTGAGTTGAATGTGCTGGAAAGCCTAGTTGGCATTCTATGGATTAAACTCAACCTTTGTTGGATGCCACCTTGGAGTTCAATGCATTGTAGGAGAAACATGATAGAGTTGAATGAAAAGTACAATGATGACGTTGCAATCAGTAAAATCTATAGAGTTCAATGCATTGTGATGCTGTTACACAAACAACTTGAAAATAACTAGGATTATCATTTATCAAGCAAATCAAAATCGATTTTCACTCAAGTACATAGATTAGGAATCTTTGTTGTCTATATGTAAATCTTCGATATATTCCCAGTGTACAAATTGGTACACCAAGGAATCACTGGTGTATTAACAATGTGCGTCAATCTGGTCACTGATTCATGTGAAATTGATATTTACGCATACAAGAAAGCGGAAAACACAGGAAAATATGTTACGCGTGATTGACATACAAAGGGTTTACGATTACAGACAACATCCCTAATAAATCCGCCCTAAAACAAAATCAGATCAACAGGTTAAGTAAAATCAAACATATACCTCGGAAGCAGCGAGACGATGGGCGAATTTTCTGGTGGAAAGATGGCCGACTTCACGGCGACATATATCAACCACCGCCGTATCGACGCTCGCTCTGTTCCTTTTCTTCATCATCCTGCAATGATAAAAACTATTAGACACGCAACAATTTGATCTCTCTTGTTTCAAATCAAAATTAATCCATGAACGAATTCACGTGGAACTGAATCTGACATCGTGGATCAATGAAATTAACAAACTGAATTGTTGATGAAAAGAAAACCTGAATTTGAGTGTAAGTAAATACCTAGAAGTAGAAGGATCGACCTCTGAAAAGGATTGAAACGATCCTTATGTGTCGACAGGAGATGAACACACCTCACTTTATACTCCTCCCACTTCTGTCTCTCACACGCACGTACATTTTTATGTCAATTGAAAATTCCTAGAAATTTGATCAAATGAACAAAAGGAAAGTTTGTTTGAAATTGAGGGGTGGATTAGCTTATAGGAAGCTAAGGGAAGATGCTTATTAACATCAGCTTATTTAGTTTATTTCTAACACAATAAGCTAATTTTTAAGGATTTTATTCAAACACTTAAACTTAGCTTATCGTGGTGGAAATAAGCAATAAGCAATAAATACCCTATTTTTTTCCTATCCAAACACCCCCTAGACCATGAAAATTTGAGTTTTGTAGAATGAACAAATGATCCTTAGAGGGGCTCTACGAAAGTCTTTTACCTTCTGAGGAATGCGAATAGTAACGAGAAATTGAGGTGGCTGGGAAAAAGACAAATAAAGGGTTTGTTGCATAGTTCCTCAGAGGGGGCTCTTAGGAAAGGTGGCTGAGACTTTGAGGATCTGTTCTTCATCAGCACACTTCTGAGGAACTGTTCTTCAGCTAACCATGACAAAAAAAATGGGTTTTTTTCCTGTCTTTTTACCAGCCACCTCAATTTCTCGTTACTATTTACATTCCTCAGAAGATAAAAGGCTTTTGCAGAGCCCCCTCTGAGGATCCCTTGGTCATTCTACACAACTCAAATTTTCATGGTCAAAATGTTCAAACACCCATTCCTTTTGGTCATTCGATGAAATTTCTCTATTTATAATTTGGTATATTACATCGTTAAACTTTAAAATATGGTATTTGTTCCGTTTAAAATTAAAATTTTATATTTATTTTTTTGATTTTAAAATATCATATTTACATGAATTTAGTTTTATACAATTTTAATCTCTTTTAATCAGTTTTTATATTTTATAATCAATTTAATTTATCCAAAAAAAATAATAATAATCGACCAAATTGCCCTTTAATATAAAACCCTTTTGTCATATATTGGATTGAATGAGTTACCCTAGTTACCCAAATTTCCCTGTGGCGTTTTTGTGGCGTTTTCTGAATACACATAGATACAACTTAGAAGCTAACAACCAAACCAATGATCACCAAACATACACCAATAAAATACGAGACTAACCTTATGTAACTTGTTAAACGTCCCAACCTTTCCATAATCAATGACATTTATAGGTACTAATTCAGATTCTACAAATCAATATATGGGATTTCCATTAGCATAGAGACAACCATCTTCTTCTAACACATAAATATTCCTTCCAATTTCCAAACTAAAGTATTATAATTGTAAATTTGAACCAAAAAACTATCAAATACTAAAAACATAGAATAAATAAATATGATATTAATAATAAGATAAGCCATCTACAAATTATTCATGATTCACCTTGATCCCCTTGAAATCCTTCAAGAATGACATATTCCAATGTAGCATAGATACTAGTTTTATGGAATCCAACACATACTCTTTTTAGAATCTTGATTTTCTGCTCTGAATTTCACGATTTTCCTTTCCACATTACAACTTTGTGAACCTTAACAACTACAACCAAGATCGACATAAGTATTACAAAATCAAGCCATGGAGTAAAAGAATAAATAAATTAAATTCTCACTTCCAAAAATCCAAATCGATTTACCCCAAAATTCCATTGTTGCTCCCAATCAATGCTACAAACGAAGAAGAGTCCCATGCCTTAGATTAGATTGTAGCTAACGATTCGGTGTTGCAAGCGGTTGTCATTGATCTAGATTGATAGCAAGAGAAAATGGAACCTAAAATGTTAATAAAGATTGGGCACTAAACTATGACTCTCGTTCCATGGAATGTTGATCTCCTAATCATTCAAGAATGTCAGGCTAAGAGACCAGACTTATATGTTAAAAGGGTGTTGATGTTCAGAGGCAATACGATTAATCTATTTTTTAATTATAATGATTATAAATATAAAAATTAATTATAAAACATTTTAAACATATATTTGGGCAACTATGATATTTAAAAAGTTAGGAAAGGTAAATAAGATATTTCAATTTTAGACTGGATAATACAATATTTTGAAGCTTAACAAAGATATATATGAAATTTAGAGTTAATTTCCTAATGAGGAATTTAATATTCTCCAAGTTTTTCTTGGTACTTATGTTTGTAGCAATATGAAACGGTAACAAGTATTTTGATATAATTAATAATATTTTAAAACACTTGTCATCATTTTATATGGATAAAAATATAAGTTGAGTGCTCATTTATTTTACAGAGTTGTCGTTTTAAACCATGTGATACACATCGTATGGTAATGCATTACATATTGTAGCTTTGGCTAGGATGACAAATCGGGCAATTGTTTTGTGTTTTTGCCTAACGATAACGTGTTTTTTCGTTAAAACGAACACGACTCAATTAAAACACAACAAACACGAAAAACACAATAGCACAACCAAAATAACAAAAGAGTATCAAGTTGCATACTGTCATACATAAGTTCTTGTGTAACACCCCGAATTCACAAGACCTAGAAAAGAAAGGAAAACCTCAAGTCAAGAAGTCTACTCGCCGAGTCCAGAGGGATGACTCGACGAGTAGGAGTGAGTTTTTGTGACGCAGGTTAAGTGACCTACTCGGCGAGTTGGAGGACCAACTCGGCGAGTTGGTATGGGTTTGGGAAACCCTAAATTCGGGCTTTTGTCCCCTATTTAAGCATCTAATTCTCCATCTTTCAGCCCCATTCTCAGCCCCCACAGTCCAAACCCTAATCCACAAAACCCTAGTGCATTCCATGAGCTTGTGAGCCATTTATGAGTATTTTTGAGTGCGTTGAAGCTTGAAGAAGAAGGAGAATCCTTGGGATACAAGAAGAGGCTAGTAGATCCAGAGACCTCTTGCATTCTTCATCATTTTCTGGTAAGAAAGTTCCAACCTTGATCATTATGCACTTAGATCTCTTCTTTGTTAATTTTGAGGGTTTTTGCTCCAAGAACCCTAGCATGTGAGAAATGGACGTCCCAAAGGCTAATGTTTTCAGATCTAGAACCATTAAGGGCTATTATGGCATAAATGTGTAAGATTTATGCCATAGGAGCCCCTATGCAAGCAATAGAGCAATCTTTTTGCCTTTTTAGCTCAAAAGGCCATGTATGGAAGGAAAAAGGCAGGAGCTTTGCATGGTTATGAGATGTTTGGGTCCAGATCTATGTTTGGATGCATTAATGTGGTGTATGGGTGACTTGTAGACCAAGATCTAGGCCCTTAAGAGTTAGGGTTTGAGTTATATCCTCTAAGTGAGGGTATTAACGGGTAAAGTTAGAAACTTTACCCTTCTAAGGTCATTTCCAGGGTGTATTCGAAGTTTGGAGTTGGGATCTGAAGTATAGGGGCTTAACCCATTAAGTTAGCTCATCAGACTGAGGGACTCGACGAGTCCAGGAAGGGACTCGATGAGTCGAGGTGGATTGTCCTGATTCTGTATATTTGAACTCGACGAGTCCGAGGAGTGACTCGGCGGGTTGATGGGACGAGTCACGACCATGAGTATCCAGGAAACTCGACGAGATAGGGGTTGACTCGACGAGGTGGGTCGCGAATTTGGGATTCTGAGTTTTGGAACTCGACGAGTTAATGGAGCAGCTCGGCGAGTTGAGTCAACTCGGTGTGTTGACTTTGACTTTGACCAAGGTTGGCCTAGTTTGACTTATGAAGGTTTTTGGACAAGAGTATGTGAGGAGTGGAATGGTCTTCTACCCCAGTGAGGACTTATGTTTAAGTTATAAGAATCATGGACTTATTTAAGTTGTATGATGACCGGTAGGTCGGGAAGTCGAGAGATCAGCAGTTCAGGGATCTGCCAGCTAGCAGCGAGGGGTTCATTCGCGGGATTCGGCAATCAGCTTGTGAGGTGAGTCTCCTCACTGTTTGATTCTGGTGCCTCAGATTCTTTTGTGTCTCATGAATTTGCACATTTTTTCAAATTGCTTGCTATGCACTCGCGCAACCATTTCACGTAGATATCATAGGAAGTATATCATTATTTGATGATAAAATCTATAGAGATTGTATCATAGAAATTGAAGGCTATAATTTTCTTGCCAATCTGATTCATATCTCCTTACCCAACTTTGATATTATTCTCGGCATGGAATGGTTGTTAAATAACACACTTAGGCATGAAAAATTTCTTTGTGAAAACTTATGAATGGTGACTTGAGAACTGCGAGACAATACTTGGGACGAGTATGAGTAGGTGTGAATAGTAGTAGAGGCCTATACTACTGGAAGCACAGGACTCACACTTGGATTAGAGAAAGTCACAAGGCTATCAAGAAGCTAGTAATTGATTCCATTTTTGTTCGAGTATGTCATTACCTTCGTTTCGGTGATGACTAAGAAGATGATTTTCGTTCAGACCTAAATGGTCGTAAAGAATCGAGTCCAACTAATATAGATCTGCGAAGTGAATTGATTGTATCTGAGAACCATGTCTTGTGTAGTGACGAAATTTCAGTCAGAGAACTGAAGAAGGGGATGGTCAGACGGAGAGAACCATCCAAACAGTAGAAGATATGCTTTGTGCATATGTCTTGGAGTTGGTGCTCGTCAAGTGGAAACACCATCGAGGCCCAAATTATGCTTAGGAAAAAAAATAAGAATGAGATAAGAGCAAAATATCCCCAGTTATTTATATCGATGTGATTTCGGGGACGAAATCCTCAAAAGGAGGAGGTATTTGTAACATACACGTTTTGAAATCGTGTTTTGTAAATTTTAAAAGTGAATAATATTATGAAATATTATATAATTATGAGTATTGAGTTCTAACGGATAGTTTTTACTAGAAATGAAGTAAAACTATGTTTAGAATCATTCAGAATGTTTTGGAAGTCTTATGAGATTCCAATCAAAAGACAAATATCGAAATTTAACGAAAATATAAAATTTGAAATAAGTAAAATTTTATTATTGAAAGTTGTAAAGAATCTCGTTAGAAACATTTAGGCGAAAACCTCATCGAAATCCGAGTTATAACAAAGAAGTTATGACCAATCGAAGATCCGCGAC